ACATGATTACAAGGCAAAATCCCACAATCAGTTGTCTGCAAGCTGGGGAAAGAGAAAAGCTGGTAGTGCCTTGGTCTGGGACCAAGAGAATCAAAACCAGGGGAGCTGACAGTGCCTTCAGTCTGAGTCTAAAGGCCTGAGAGTCCCCAGCAAACCACTGGCCTAAGTACCACAGTCCAAAGGCCAAGGAAACTGGAGTCTAATGTCCAAAGGCAGGAGGAGAAGAAACAAGCATCCAGCACAGGAAGACAAGAAAGCCAGAAGACCCGGCAAGCAAGGGCATCCCACCTTTCCCCATCTGCTTTGGTCTAGCCACACTGGTAGCTGATTGGATGGTGCTCACCCACACTGAGGGTGGGTCTTCCTCTCCATTGACTCAAATGCCAATCTCCTCTAGCAACACCCTCCCAGATACACCCAGAAATAATACTTTGCAAGCCATATAGGCATGTTCAATCCAATCCCATTGATCCATCACACGTCTCTTTCGCTTATGGAATGTCAGCTCTATAATAACATGGACTTGCTATCCCAGTGCCTATGAAAGTGCCAGCACATAGTAGGTGCTCAATAAATATTCGTTGAATAATTACAGACTGAACCTTTATGAGGTATGTAACATTGTTGTCCACAGTGGACAGCTGAAGATAGGAAGGGAGGGTCACAGAGCTCTCTCAGAGCCTGGCAGGAGAGGACTCACTCAATGTACTATCATCCTGCTCTGTAAACACTAGGCTCTTTCCTTCTAGGAACCAATCTAGGTTCCTTGAAATTATCTGTCAGTAGCTTGGCTGTATTATAGTCACCATGAATGTCTATTAATTTACAAGGTGAATCCACTAACGAGGCAGTCAGAAATCATAATACATTTACATATGTACATGTAAGGGCAGACAGCTGTGGCCAACTCTTTTTTTTTTTTTTTTTTGGCTGTTTTGCATCTGACTGTGGAAAAAAAATATGTTTTTTGAACTCTGCTTTTGAGTCAGACTTGGTTTCTGATGTTAAATGACAAAGCAGTTCTGATCTTATCTGGACAATTTTTCCATGAAATATAAAGAGAGAAAGAAGCCAGAATAAATATCTGAAATAAATATATTGACAGAATTCAAGGGAAAGATAATAGATTTACTCATATTCCTGGCATCATTGGTTTAGGAAAAAGAAAGCTTGCCAGCCAGAACTCCTTGGTTATAGATTAATAATCCAAGGTACAAATGGTTCTGGACAATTTAGAGAAAACATAAACTACAATATTAAACAAACTGGAGTTCAAAGGTTTCTGGAATTTGCTAAGTGTTCTAGGTCATACATTTTTCAAAAGTGATGACACAATATGGAGTTTTTGAACTTTGCAACACAAATAGCCAGTAGATTTTTGCCTGAATCTCATTAAAGAATTGTGCAACTATTATTAAAAAAAAAAAAAAAAAAAAAGGAAGGCAGGGAGGAGGAAGAAACAAAGTGGAAAGGTTAGAAAATACCAATTGTCAAGTTGCTGAAAATCGAAGAATAATCTCATAATTCTGTGGAAAATGTGCTTTTAGTTCATATTCTGTGTTGCATGGTAGTTGCAAGCATGGCTTTGGGGTCGCTCTGCAGATCCCCATCTGCCTCTGCTCCTAATTGGCTCTATGATCTGGGACTAGTAACAAAGCTCGGTTCATAGAAATATTGTTTATGTCCTGTGAGCTATGCCAGGCATATTTAACTTCCCCTGAATCCACTCTAACTGCTCCAGTCTGTTCTGCATGTTACAGAAAGAGAGTTATCTTTATAATACAGATAAAGTCAGGCCTCCATGTCTTTGCATAAAGATGAAGGCCACAGTTGTTACTCTGCCTCTGTTGCAGTCTGCTCAGGTACCTCATTGTTCTCTGCGCTCCAGCCACACTGGACATCCCCAATTTCCCTCAACACGGCATACTTCCTGCCTCAGGGTCTTGGCAACTGGTCTTCCCTCTACCTAGAATTCTCTTTTGCCTTCTCCTTCCCTAATTCATTCTTTGATTCCAATTGAATTATGAAGTCTTCGGAGAATGGCCCTTCTCCACATTTCTGACCTGCTGCTTTCTTGCATGTACACAGTCGAACTCTGACAGTGAATTGTCTAACCAGTGGGTATTGTCCACTCTCTAACTAGACTGGGGGATAGAGGTGTCTTCTGACTTGGTCACTACCTCCCAAGCATGTAGCACAAAACCTTGCACATTGACAAACACTCAACAACCACGGCAAGTTTTTGAAGAGAATGAACGCATCATGGCCTCAGCTGGTCTGGGTCCTCATCCGTGAATGCTGGGATGACATTACCTTTCTCATAGGTTCACTTAGAAGACTGAATGAGAGAAAAGTTTGCAAGGGCTTTGGCAGCCATGAAGAACAATACATGAGTAAGGGATGACTATAATTTTTAGATGTCTGCTGATGATCATTTCAACTGCAAGTGACCAGAAATGTAACTCAAATAAATGGGTTTAATCTGAAAAAGGGAAATCTTTGGCATGCATAACTGATTAGACCGGATAAGAAAGGTAGGATTCAGGTGTTGAAATGGCATCATCAGAATATCATTAGAATTCTCCCTCTCTCTCTCCTTTGTCCCTTTTCCTCTCTGCTTTCCTATGTTCAATTATTGGCCGGGCTTCCCCATTGTGATGATGACCAATATATTCAGGTTACATTATGTTATACCAGCCTAGCATCCCCAGGGCAGAGAGAGAGCCAGAGCCTTTTCTCCAAAGCTTCAGAAAAGATCTATGAAAAATTGTCTTTGGTTCACCTTAATAACATGACCTATTTGAGCTGGTCACTCTGGAGAGGGGATGCACTGATGGAAAGGCCGGGTCTACGTTACACGACACCTTCGGATCTTGCAGATGGCATTAGTCACTCAGAACTCCATGGACTGAGAAAAGGGAAGTGCAAAAAAAAAAGTGAGTGCTATTAACAAAAGCAGAAACAAATGCAGATTGGAGAAAGCAAGAAGCATCCTCTATGGAGATTCACCAGTTCAAATGAAGGATTTTTTTTTTTTTTTTTTTTTGACGGAGTCTTGCTCTGTCACTCAGGCCGGAGTCCAGTAGTGCCATCTCGGCTCGCTACAACATCTACCTCCCAGGTTCAAGTGATTCTCCTGCCTTAGCCTCTTAAGTAGCTGGGATTACAGTCACCTGCCACCACACCCGGCTAATTTTTGTATTTTTAGTAGAGACAGAGTTTCGCCATGTTGGCCAGGCTCGTCTTGAACTCCTGACTTCAGGTGGTCCACCTGCCCCAGCCTCCCAAAGTGCTGGGATTACAGGCGTGAGTCACTGCGTCTGACCAAATGAAGGAATTTTTAGTTCCCATCTCCTCATTCTAATCCTATTGTGTGAATTGAATTCTGTCTTTTCTCCCATATGATAGGGAGGCAATGCAAATGATATTCCACAGCCATCTTCACATAAAATAGCATTGCCTGGGGAGGCCTTGCTCTGAGTTGGGAGGAAGGATGTAGGGGAGGTGTACAGGAGAAAACAAGTGAAGTGATTAGGTTCTTTGTGCATTCAAGCAGGTAAGATCAGAGTAATCACACATCTGAATCCCATAAAAGAAAGTAAACCCTGTAGGAAGAGAAACGCCCTAGGCCTTCAAGTTTGGTGTTCCTAGGGAACAAGTATTAGGGAACTCACTGGTGTTCGTGAAAGAAAGAAATACCACCAAGCATCATTAGACAGTTGACTTTGTCATTCATTATCAGTGTGATACTGGACAAGTGTAACACATGCTGATGGATAGCTGAGCCAATCCCTGTTCAACCTCCTTGTTCCTAGGGAGTAAGCTGTGGCCCACGAGATGTAAGAAGAAGTCACTGGGTGGGGCTTCTGGAGCTGCAGCAGCCATCTTGTAATAATGAAAGTGAATGGCACATGCGGTCCTCATGTAAAATCAAGAGGGTTTTTTGTTTGTTTGTTTGAGGTTTTAGTGTTTCCACGCTGGCTTAACTAGCTAGATAATGACTACCAGTGTTACATACAGTAACACTGATTCGCACACCATCTTCTGGTTCCTTCTTCATTTTCTCAAACGTGGGAAACTTTTTTTGAGTGTGGAGTGATCATTCAAAACAAGTTTGTTGGCCCGGTGCAGCTGTTCACTCTTGTAATCCCAGCACTTTGGGAGGCCAAGGCGGGCAGATCATGAGGTCAGGAGATCAAGACCATCCTGGTTAACACAGTGAAACCCCGTCTTTACTAAAAATACAAAAATTAGCTGGGCTGGTGGCAGAAGCCGGCAGTCTCAGCTACTCAGGAGGCTGAGGCAGGAGAATCCTTGAACCCGGGAGGCGGAGGTTGCAGTGAACCGAGATGGCGCCACTGCACTCCAGCCTGGCAAGAGGGAGAGACTCCGTCTCAAAACAAAAAAACCAAGCTTGTCCAATCCGGAACCATGGATCACATGTGGCCCAGGATGACTTTGAATGCAACCCAATACAAATTTGTAAACATTTCTAAAACATTATGAGATATTCTTGAAATTTATTATTTTATTTTATTTATTTAGCTCATCAGCTTTCATTAGTGTTAGTGTATTTTAAATGTGGCCCAGGACAATTTTTTCTCTTCCAATATGGCCCAAGGAAGCCAAAATATTGGACACCCCTGATTTAAAATAAAGATCTTTGCTCCATTTAAATTCTAATTTTGTAATACATTTTTAAAACTTCTTATTACTACTGTTTGGGTCCGGAGTCTTTTAAAAAATGTATTATGGTAATTTGAGGAAACTTTCCTATGAAACTTTGCTACATTTCTTAGACATTTACTTTGTTTTGGAAGTTGTCAAATTGTATTACTATCTATAAAGAAAAAATATCTAAGCTGGGTGTAGTGGCTGGCACCTGTAATCCTAACACTTTGGGAGGCTCAGATGAGTAGATTATTTGAGCCCAGGAGTTTGAGACCAGCCTAGGCGGCATCATGACATCCCATCTTTACAAAAAAAATATGAAAAATTAGCCAGGCATGGTGGTGTGTGCCTGTAGTCTAGCTACTTGGGAGGCTAAGGTGGGAGGATTGTTTGAGCCAGGAAGGTCAAGTCTTCAGTGAGCTGTGGATGTACCATTGCACTCTAGCCTGACTGACAGAGAGACCCTGTCAAAAAAAAAAAAAAAATCTGAAAAGATTATGCTTGGTGTTTTCCTTAGGAGTAACACAATTCCAGTTATCATATTTTCATTGATGAAGTTAGAAAATAAAAGAGAGTTCTATTTCTAGTTGTAGAAACTATATTGGTTTGTTGCCATTAAAGTGGCCCATTATGGTATTTCATGAGAGTAATCAACAAAACCTGAACGTACTTAGTGTGTGACAGGTGCTCCTAGGCCTGTGAGGCAGATGAGGTTATGGTGAAAGACAAGAAAGACTTCGATCTCCTGCATTTAATTTGTGAAACAGCAAGACATCCACCAAGAAGACATGTTGAAGTGGAGGTGTTTCCTATTTTGTGTCAGCTATTCTTGTATTTTAACAGAATCATAGACAATTGACGGGAAGGGTATCATTTCTAAGAAAAAAATCATAGAAAGTTTATGTTAGGAACAATATTAAGGTCTACGTCCAAAGTCCTCCTTTTACAGAAACGGCCTTGATGCCCAGAGAGGGAAAATGACCTGCCCAAGGTCACATGGTCAGTTAGTGACAGAACCAGGAGTAATGCTTGGGTCTCTAAGATTTGCTGTTATTTAATCCCATCTTAATGGCTATGATCAAAGGACATAGTTTCTGTCACACATAAAGAAATAACTTGACTTTAAAAAAAGTTGGCTAGGTGACTAATGAACTATGTCTACCATGAAGTGGGTATCCTTAGTCAACTGCCAAGACCTGTTCCTGCATATGCTTTTATTTCTGCGTGACAAGCCCTCATTTGAATGCACAAGTGAACACACATAACCCTGTGGAAAGATCATTAACTGAGCTGTGGTGAGGCCCACCGGTGGTCAAACCACACGTGTGTGTGCGCACTGGTGGAAGTGATGGTCAGTCTGAAAGTGCTCACCTCCCACCACCTTGGGGCTGTGTCTCAAACATAGAAGCTCTCCCTTCTGGGTAGTATCCCTCTTGTCTGAATTAAAAAAAGAAAATCTGTACTTGCAGATTGATATCTGTCTATCATCTATCTATCTATCATCTATCATCTATCTTCCTCTGATATGTGTTTGTGGGTATGGTTGGTGTGTATGTTTTTGTGTGTGCATGCACATATATATATATATATATATATATAAATAAAGAGATACATATTTTCTTTTCAGATGGTTTTATTTGTCAGGGATCTTGCAAAACAACAACAAAAAAAGGCGTGCAGTTTTTTAACCCAGTTATGACCTTCTGCATCAACATTGGGTTTGGTAGGGTTTGGTAAATTACATTGCAATCTACTACTCATTCTGACATTAAGTTTAAATGAAATTAAACAGTAATGAACAGAAAACACAGCTTTAAAGAAAACAGAAGATATTAAAAGAGAGGCTGGTGGACTATATGCTCTATCTGAATACCGGGGCTTCAGATTTTGTTTCCTTTTGATTTACGTTTGTGCTGTTTGAATCCCTCTCCACAAACCCCTCCTGGAGAGCAGCCTGGATAACCTCCTGGGGAGGGACATCAAGCTCTCCTGATTCACAGCACTATAGGACGGTACTACTGCCACAGTTAAGTTGAGCCCAAGCCGTATAATGTCAGAATCTACTTTAAAATTGGAGCCCGGGCTTAGAATTTTTCTTCAAATTCTGAACATTACAAGGGGACAACAGCAACGACAACAACAAGAAATAACCCAAAGCAAATGAACCCCAATTCTCTTTGCCCTAATTTTTGCACCAATATCAAACTCCTAACCTTCTGAATGTACAAAGAGATTCTTATTTTAAATCCAAGAAAGAAACGACCCCTTCAAATTCATAATGAGGTATGCATTGAACGGAACACAGCCCAAGGTGAGTCATTCATTAATCATAAACAAAACAGCCCCTGATCAAGGACACATCAGCACACACTGTAAAAAGAGGCCAGGTTGCCCAATCCCTTTATTTAATATTAACTACATTATGTTTTTCATGTGAGTTCTGAGAAGGTGATTTTCTCACTTTATTTGTAGCCAGCTCAGTGTGAATGGATAATTACTTCCCTTAATACTGTTTCCCCTGAAGGTTAACCCTGTTCAACAAGACACGATTGAATCTTGCCTCTCATGGTTGGGTGGGGCTGGTGTGGGGGAAGGGTCTGCATCCGTAGCTGAAGACTTTTAGCTGGAATTCTTCAAGCATAAAAACATCCGCCAACAGGAATATTTCAAATGACATTAATAATATTTGTGATTAACAACAGCTAACCAGAGAAGTATAATCCAAGAAATACATGATTAGCTTATTATGATATCTGATATGCTAATTATCTTCAAAAATTTCATTGTTGATGACTGTTTTGGCAGAAATTTGAGCAGGGGAAGAGGAAATTTAAACTTTTATGCAAGTTGGAAACAAAGCATTTGGGCAATTGGACTTTAGAAGACCTGGGAATGGTATTTGGTATTTAATTCTGTCTGATGAGAAGGAAATTAAATAACAAGAACAGAAATCTGTGTGAAGATTGAAACTTGAGTCAATGAGAACTTGGCCATCATCATCAGAAGCTCTTCCTTACCTTCCTTGACAAAAGGCTTCTGGCCCTGAAATGAACGGGTAACATGATGGGGTTTGGCAAGATTTGCCTGGGTGCCAGTCATGAGTGTGTATCACCGCTTGTGGAAAACCAATAGTTTCCTAAGGATTTGCTTCTCATTGCCAGTGGAGACCTCTGCAGCACCAGCTACTTTCCCATCTGCTCTGGCTTCACCCAATTCCCCACCAAAAACCAGCTCAGCCACTGTCACTGAGGCATCACAGCATATCCTAACTCTTGGAAGGGGACCCAGAAGAAAGCCAGACAGCTACTTCTCAGAGGAGCCTGAAGTACACACTCATTTTACTCATCGAAAAGCTGACTCCCAGAAAGGGTCAGCAAGTTAGCAAATATTTCCAAAGGATGATAAAATTCAGGTCATAGAAAGCCAGCCATCTGCTGTGGGAACAGTGAACTGATATCACCAGGCCATTTGCGTAACCACACATATTCTCTGTCTCACCTTCCAGAAGTTTAAAATCAAGAAAGACATTTCGATGTTGACGGCAAACAAAGTAGGCTTAAAACACTCCTCAATTCAACTGTGAAGCAGGAGAGACAGACTCTCCAGCAGGGAGATTCCCCATCTCCAGCCCTCTTTTCTGCAGCTTCATTGCCTGGGTGCTACTTCTTATTGTTTCTTTCTCTACCGTTGTTTAAGTGGATCCAGGTGTCTTTGTAGTCTATGGTGTTGGTGCAAAAGTAATTGCAGGTTTTGCCCTTATTTTTAATGGCAAAAACCACAATTACTTTTGCACCAACCTAATACGTTCTGAAAGAAAGAAAGGAAGTGAGGTCATAGCAGTCAACTTCCCGGGGCAGTGATCAAGAACACCTGGCAGGAGTAGTCAGATTTATGATGTTGATTTCCAGAAAACCAGAGAATCCACATTAAGCAAAGGTCCAAGAAACAATGAGTTTATCATAGCACACCAAGAGTTAAAGCAGGACACTCCACTGAATGCAACTTAAGCCTCATGAGACCTGCGCTACCTTATTCACTGCTCCAGCCCCCTTCCAGGCCCCCCACCCACTGATCTAGAACTGGTCTGACCCAGGTTAGGCACTTATTTCTAGAAAGAACAAGTGATTTGAACATTTTGAGCACCTGCTTGGTACCAGGCTGCTAGGCAACTGTAAAAGAGACAAAGCCACTGCTCTCAATGAGTTCTCAGTGAATGCAAACAGAAGAGAAGGTGATAAACCCAGTGGACTAGTGGTCAAGAGAGTGGACTCCTGCATCATGGTGGCCAGATTAGTTCCTTGACTCTGCCATTTATCGGCTGTGTGACTTTTGACAAGCTACTTACATCTCTGATCTTCCATTTTCTCAAATGGAAAAGGTGGAGAGTAATAATCCTAACATATAGAGAGGATTCTGTGAAGGCTATGAAATCACAGATGTACAGATTCAGCACAGAGGGGTAACTAGAAATAGAGAAGTCAGCTAAATGACTACTTCGGTTGTTGCCAAAGCTGCTATTGCAGCTGCCTTGTGTGTTGCAGGCAGCTTTGATTGAAAAGTTAATCAGTAGGCTTGAGTCTCTATCAATAAAAAGGAGAGACATTGAGTTAAATACTTGATGATTTTTTTTAAAAAAGACCTAAACCCCAAACACCTTAAAACATAGCGGTAGTGAATCAAGAGACAATGAAAGATGAATCATGGCATATTTTCAGCAGCACAATACAATTTTTAAGAAGAAAGTGGCCTCAGGGACCAGGCACAGTGGCTTATGCCTGTAATCCCAGCACTTTGTGAGGCCAAAGTGGCGGGGATAACTTGAGCTCAGGAGTTCGAGACCAGCCTGGGCAATGCGTCAAAACACCCTCTCTATTGAAATGCAAAAATTAGCCAGGCATAGTGGTATGCACCTGTAATCCCAGCTACCAGGGAGGTTGAAGCGGGAGAATCAACAGAGGCTGCAGTGAGCCAGGATTGTGCCACTGTACTCCAGCATGGGTGACTGATGAAAATTCAGTCTTGATGTGGAACTCTAAGAAGAAAGATGGGTATGAAAAGACAGGAGAGTGGCTGCTAACTGATTGGGTGGGTGTTTATGGGTGCAGGATGAGTCAGCACCTGCCAGAGTTCCCTAACACCACGCTCACCTCCATCCCGTACCTTCTACTCTGCTCCAAGGCACTCTGAGGGCTCAGAGGTAGATGAGGTACTCTTCTCCTTGCCCCAATTTCATAATGATGAACAGCTTAAGATGAGCAATAGCTAAGCATTCAGCAGAGAGGGAGAGCTTTGTAGGTTGAAGAGACCTAGCAAGGATTCCTGGAGGAGGAGTATTTGCATGGGGTATTGAAAAATGGGTATTTCAGAGCCAGGATTATATTGAAGTCATCAAGTTCTTCTTTTTTTTTTTTGGAAGTCATCAAGTTTAACCTTTTAGCTGATAATTAGAAAAAAAGATCAACATGCCAGGTGGTAGAAAACGGGCAAAAGAAATGCAGTGTTTTCTCTCAGTTTTCAGTAGGCTCTCAGGATAGCTTCATTGGCCTTCAGTAGACTGCTGGTGGTAAAATGATAATAATAAATAGCATTTATTAAGTGTTTACCATGGCCAGGCTCCATGCCAGGCGCTTTTCAGGTAGTCTGTTATTTACTTTTCTCAATCACCTTGGGAAGGCACGAATTTAACTGCATCTCATTTTATAGATGAGGAAACTGAGCTTCAAGAAGGGGGAGTAACTTGTCGTTGTCCTGAGTCACATGGTTGGTGAGGTGTGGAGCTGTCCTGAAAGTTCATGTGTTCACCTGCTGCATTGCTTGAAGAATGTTTCCGTGTGTCACAAATCTGTTTAGAAGCAGAACAGAGAAAACAAAAATCTCCAACAGCTTACAGAGCTTATTTACTAGTAATAAACATGCACATCAAGTGCTTAGCACAGCGCCTGATACGGCAAGTCCTTTCTACATATTAACAGAAATTTGTTTTTATTAATAAGGTATTAATAAGGTATAAGGTATTGTGGAGTCAAGAAGATGACAGGTAGTCAGTAAATGGCAGGTGTTGCTATAATGACTAATACCATCAACATATGAGCTCTAGCCTGCCATTGGAAAACACTGCCTACCTACCAATAGCAGCCTGCCCCGACCACACCCTGTTTCTCAGCAACCAATCAAACGCCTTCACTTCCTATAAAACCCCACTTCCAGAGGAGTCAGGTGTGACTTCTCTGGCCTCTTTCCCCGGGACAACGGAGCCTCACCCAGGAGCTGAATAAATTGGCATTTAATCTTTTTGTGCTGGCCTCAGTTTCCTCATTCTAAACTCGGCAATAACCCTTACAGCCTTCCCCTATATAATCAAAGTCCTTGCCACTCTTGATTTTTCCCTACCATTTCTAATACAAAATGCATTTCTGTTTCCTTGATCATGCTGTTCTCTTAGCTGGAAGTGTCATTTCTTCATTCTTTGCCCATCTCATTCTGTAATGCCCAGCTCAAGAACTGCACTTCTGTGGTATTCGTCCAGATGTCTTTAATTTCCTTGCCTGCTCCTATAACCAAAATGTCTTTATTTCTCCTTGGTGAAGGCTCCAGGCTTTCATTACAGCTAGATAAGCCCTTATTAATTTTTCTTGCATCATTCTGAGATGTAAACATGACCATTTCCCCCAACTCCACTCTGAAGTCCTTGATGTCTGGATGGTGTTTGTTAATATTTACACTCTTTTCATTCTTCATCTTGCCAGCAGCCTCTAGAACTGGGCTCAGCACCCAGTAGGCACTTAATAGTTGACTTGAATTACAGAGAATTTGGGGGAATCCCACTTTAAAACCCATGTTTTTTTCAGACACACTGCTCCATACACTGTTAGCAGATATTGAGTCCTTACCAGAAATGTGCTGTACTCAGAGATTTCAATCTGCCGTGTAGAGAACAGAGTTTTTATGGTACAGTATAGGAATCAGATAAGTTTTGAACAGGAATGATTTTCAGAAAGAGAACAAGGGAAAACAGCACTGTTTGGGGATTAAAAGCCATGCTGCAGATATCTACAAATAGGATTGTTGCAATATTGGCCTTCAAACCACCATTACCATAGAAACTAGAACTAGGACTCGGTAGGCATTTACCAACTTGCTGCACATTGATCCTGAGTAGGTTTGGGCTGGGCACCTGTCTGGCACCCTCTGAGAACATGCTGTGGTAAACGTAGTCCCCATGTCAGTGTCACACATTCTATCAGGCATTTAAGCAACCCCCAAATCACTACTTTAAAAAAGCATCTTTTGATTGATTCATCAGCTACCAAACAGGAAAGACACAGCTATCACTGTGTGGGGAGCAGCAATTAGCAATGGAAGAAGCTCACAGGTTGGAGTTTGAGTTTTGGCATGGAAGATAAAGCCAAAAAGGAGACCTTCATCCCAACACCCCAAGCAGCCTGGCCCTTTACTTGACTCCCAGACAGGAATAAAACGGAGTGTGAGAACAACATATTAGAATGGTAATATTCATAGTGTAATTAACAGATGCTGATTGAGCAGTTATTGGTGTTAAGTGTTTTAGCTGTTTCATTGGATGCTCAAAGCAGCCTTGTGGAAGAGACATCAAACACTTTGCCCAAAGTCAAACAGCAAAGAAGAGGTGACACAGGAATTTAGAAACAGGTCTTGCTGAACCCAAAACATGAGTATCTGAACATTTTGATTTGCTGTGTTGGGTGGTGGTCATAGTCCAGGATTTGGTTGTACAAAGTGGACTTAAGTTTGAGGAGAGATGAAAATTTGCTTGGTAAAGTCCTGCTCCAAAGTGCAACCTTTCCCTTTTTGCCTTCTCCAGAGTACCTGCTCCTCTCTCTCTAGTTAAGCATGCAAAATGACCATCTGCATAACATTCTGTTTCTGTTAGGCACTAGGGAATTACAGTTTACCCACTGGCCATATTTAATTTCTTCAATGTGTTTTTATTTATTTCTCTCCTTCTGGGATCTTTTTTAAAGGTTTTCTTTTTCCCAAAATAGAAAAATTCTTATTAATCTAGCTAACCCTAAAATATTCAATTATTATTATTGATGTTATTATTCTTAATTAGAAAAAGGTTTTAGCAGGATTAAAGAAAATTTTGAATAAAAAATGAATAGAGCACATCATCTCCCAGCTTGATATAACTTTATTCGTGTCTTATATTTTATTATGAATAACTAGATCATAGAGATGTATTTTCATATAGGTGTTATGTACACAAACATTCCTGTATATTTTCTATAGATTTATGTAATTTTAATATTTTTTTAAAGCAAAAAAATCCATTTCACAGACTTTCCTAATTTCCCAAATGATTCTCTGGATATTTAGGTTGGGTCTACTTTTCAGACATTGTGTTGCTCACGGTGATAAATCTTGCACAAACACTTCTCTTCCATTTCCTAAGGCAGTAATTTATTTTCCCAGACTACTTTGATGTGTCCTTCCTACCTAATTTTAAAGAGTTGACAAAGGACACTTTAATTTGCTGACTTCAAGTATTTTTAACCATCCTTTGATTCTTTTCACAAAGCCAAACACTAGTGGGCACCAAGATGGCGCAATCCTCAAGTCACCACTAATCTTGCCCAAGTGGTGGTGACAAGCTGCAAAAGGCAGGCATCCCTGCTGGGATTCCTGGGTTTCCTTCATGAACCCAGCTTGTCTGTGAGAGCATGTGAGAGCAGTGTGAGCACAGCGTATGTATTAACTGTGGCTTGTGCCACACACTCATGCTATATCAGGTACCATGCCAAGTGGTTTATATGTGCCAACACCTAGCACGGTGCTCTACACATGGCAGTGCTGTGGTCAGTGTGTGTTGAATATTTGCCATATCATTATCTTCTCAGAATACCTTCTTGCTGTATGATTGTGTTCTCAGAATACCTTCCGAAGTCATTCTAATGATTAGTCCCGTTTGAACTGTTGAGTAACTTGTAAATTCACAGAGTGGCTGGGCACAGTGGCTAACACCTGTAATCCCAGCACTTTGGGAGACTGAGGCGGGTGGATCATTTGTGGTCAGGAGTTCAGGACTAGCCTGACCAACATGGTGAAACCTGCTCTCTATTAAAAACACAAAAATTGGCTAGATGGTAGTGGTATGCACCTGTAATCCCAGCTACTCCAGAGGTTGAGGCAGGAGAATTGCTTGAGCCTGGGAGGTGGAGGTTGCTGTGAGCCAAGATTGCACCACTGCACTCTAGTCTGAGTGACAGAGTGAGAAGTTGTCTCAAAAAAAAAAAAAAAACCATAAAGTCACATAGTAAATATTGAAGCTAATGTGGATGCAGTTCTGCCTATACCCAGAGTCCATCATCTTTCTTTTTTTAAAAAATAATTGTTAAAGCCTGCTGTCTTTACCATGCCACTGTTCTGCCTGTGGGTGGAAAATACATCTGCTTATTTTCCTCTATTTTATTTCATCTAATTTCTGGGAATCCTTAGGAGATATAAAGTAACCCCAAACTCAAGGTTTTATTCTAGCTTTGTCTCAAGTTTTTATTTATTTTTGTTTTCTATTTTTATGTTTTGAGACAGAGTCTTTCTCTGTTGCTCAGGCTGGAGTGCAGTGGTACAATCTTGGCTCACTGCAATCTTCGCCTCACGGGTTCAAGGGATTCTCCTGCCTCAGCCTCCTGAGTATCTGGGAATACAGGCTTGAGCCACGATGCCCGATCAATTTTTGTATTTTTAGAGAGACGGGGTTTCGCCATGTTGACCAAGCTGGTCTCGAACTCCTGTCCTCAAGTGATCCACCTGTCTTGGCCTCCCAAAGTTCTGGGATTACAGCTGTGAGCCACTGTGCCTGACCTCAAGTTTTTAAAGAGATAGAGGGACCAGAGGAACAGGTAAAGTCCCTGATGTGTCTCACCAATATCCTAGAGGCAAGCCCAGCACAAATTTGCTCATTAAACAAATGCTTCTCCCCTCTGTGCCAAGCATGGGAGTATCAGGTTACATGCACGTAAGAAATCTCCCATTAATATTTCCTATTAAGGCGGAGCAGAATTGTGCGCATAAGAAGATCACAATACTTACTAAGCATGAAGAGTTCACCAAAGAAAATGAACAAGGTGCTGAGGTATGGATGGCAGGACGGGATGAGAGGGACCTAACTTCCATAGGTTGATCAGTCACCTCTTGCCTTCCTTGTAAAATTCCAGTGGCAGCCTTACGGAGAATTTTGGCATATTAAAAAGTCGCACTTCCATTTTGCATTTGTAGTTTCAAAGCTAAATTGACAAGTGACCTTTCAAGTACTCCTAGAAACTGGATGCTGGCTCAAAGACCTAATCAAGTACATTTTTCATTCCCTTGTTTTTTTGACCAGAGTTCTTCAGTCTCAGCACTATTGAGACTCTGGGGCCAGATAATTCTTTGTGTGGAAGCTATCCTGTGCAGTGTAGGGTGTTCAGCAGTCCCCCGGTCTCTACTCATGAGTTGCCAGAGTCTCTGTCCCCTAGGTATGACAATCCAGAACGTCTCTAGACATTGCCAAATGTGCTTCAGGAGCAAAATTGCCTCTGGTTGAGAACCACTTCTTTAGACTTGTAGATCATGACAGTTTTGATATCGTGAATAATTTCCAGGATCTGACAAAATCCAGGAAATGTGTAAGAATAATAACTATTATAGAGTCCTATGTGCCAGGCATTCTGGTCAATGCTTTTCACACATGATCTCATTTAATTTTCATAACAGACATATGAGGAAGGTATTGATTTTTGCTACTTTCTTAAGGGCTAAGATCACACAGCTGAGCCTGGAGTTGAACCTGAGTCTCTGTGATCCACAGACATGGATAGGAAAACACAGCTATGAATGTGGATTTTCTTCGTGGCGTCGTTAAAATAAACACATCTCACACTTTCAAGCACACGTGAATCGCCCAGGGAGCTTGCTGAAATATCAGTGTTAATTCTGCAGATCTAGGGTGGAGCCTGAGATTCTGCATTTCCATAAGCTCCCAGGTGATGCCTATGCTGCTGGTCCGTGGACCACACATTGAGCACCCAAGGCCTGGAGCAGCAGTTCTTACTTAAGCCTTTCTGGGTTACAGATGCAGCCAAGAATCTGGTAATTTATGGACCTCTGCCCAGAAAACTGCAATTATGCACACACATCTCCTAAAAGCCCAGGTTAGATCCCAAGCTCTCTCTGGAATCACACATTAACCCTTGCCAAACAGATGGATCTCACCTGTTTCTGCAGATTTCTGATAAAGCAGAATTCCTAAGGCCACCTTGGCTTACAACAACAACGTTCCATCGTCTCGAACACTGGCAGTCTTGGGGTCCTTGGAGTCCCTAACTGGGGCCTTTCTTATTGTACATACTCCATTACTTCCATCATTTTCCTAAGTACAAGTAAATAGCAGCCTGTCAATAAGGAACATTGGCCTCAAATCCAATCCACCACTTTCATATTTTGACTCACCTTAGAAAATTCTTCAAGTCAGACATATACGAGGCCAACAAACATGAAAAACTGCTCATCATCACTGGTCATTAGAGAAATGCAAATTAAAACCACATTGAGATACCATCTCACTCCAGTTAGAAAGGTGATCATTAAAAAATCTGGAGACAACAGATGCTGGAGAGGATGTGGAGAAATAGGAACATTTTTACACTATTGGTGGGAGTGTCAATTAGTTGAACCATTGTGGAAGACAGTGTGGCGATTCCTTGAGGAACTAGAAATAGAAATTTTATTTGGCCCAGCAATCCCATTACTGAGTATATACACAAAGGATTATAAATCGTTCTAGTATAAAGACACATGCATACGTATGTTCATCGTGGCACTGTTTACAATAGCAAAGACCTGGAACCAACCCAAATGCCCATCAATGAAAGACTGGACAAAGAAAATGTGGCACATATACACCATGGAATACTATGCAGCCATTAAAAAAAGATGAGTTTGTGTCCTTTGTAGGGACTTGGATGACTCTGGAAACCATCATTCTCAGCAAACTGACACAAGAACAGAAAATCAAACACTGCATGTTCTCACTCATAAGCGGGTATTGAACAATGAGAACACGTGGACACAGGGAGGGGAGCATCACACACTGGGGTCAGTTTTGGGGGTGGCTAGGGGAGGGACAGTAGGGGGTGGGGAGGGTGAGGAGGGATAACGTGGGAAGAAATGCCAAATATAGATGATGGGGAATGGAGGCAGCAAGCCATCTTGCCATGCATGTACCTATGCAACAACCCTGCATGATCTGCACATGTACCCCAGAACCTAAAGTACAATAAAAAAAAAAAAGAAAGAAAATTCTTCAAGTCCTGCATGGCATCTTTCCATAATAATACTTCTTCCTACCCACTCTCTCCTTCCATGAACAATTATCTACGTAATGCATGTGCCATGTGATACAGTTATCAGAAAGTGATGTTACCTGAACATACACATACAAAACAATATGAGAAGATACTTTGCTAAAAGAACAGATAACCTTAAACATTAATAAGTGGAAAATCTGTGAAATCAAAGCATTTTTTTTCTTTTTTATATAATAGCCTTTCATTCTTTTTATGATTTTGTCTTTGAAAGCTCTTTCTGCAGATGACAGATGATATTGTTCTTCCATCCTGCTTCAGACAGAATTAAGGGAGGAAGGGGGAAAAACTATTGTAGAGCCTCTCCACTCTGCAACACGATTTTTATAATTAATATATACAACTGAGCAGAGAAAGGTACGTTATAATGAAATGCAATTAAGAGGTGTTTGTTCTTTTCCCACACATGATGACTATAATTTCCTTGGCTGTTTAGAAGTCAACCATTATCATTACATTTTGCACGTATCTTTTCTATTTTTTTTCTTTGCTCCCGAATTTGTTTATTTTTCAATTAAAAACAAACATGGATTTAGAGTGCTTGATATTCAGAGAACATCATCTTTTAATTATAGTCCTTGGTGATCATTAAATCTAACACCTTTTATGGTATTTCTTGCATTGGCATGACTTCCAATTTTTAATTAATGGACCTTTAAAAATAGCTCCAAATAAAACTGTAATTTCAATTTACAAAAAAGCTTGGGTTGGGCGACAACATTATGTTTTCCTTCCATGTGGAAAGGAACCAATCTGATTTTATAGTTATCTGTCATCTTGGACTTTAATTATAACCCTCCCATACAACCTGACATTTACTCATGCGCGCTGGGCTGCTCTCTCTTCAGGCTCCCCTGTTTTCTTTCCCTTTTGTTCTGATCCTTCCCAACTTGAATGGAAGAATAAAGGTTGGGGGGATCTACCAGTCACTTGTTGGGGGAGGCTGTGTATGATGGGGTGAAACCAGCCATCTTTTCAGATGCTGCTTCTCATTTTCCCTGGCTGTCTTTATAGTTGAAAGCGTCTGGCAAGTCAGAATCAGCCCAAAGGGTACGACTCATTTGGAATCTCTAAGTTCGAGTGCTGAGAAACTCACCTTTAACTGCAGAGACCCACCAACCCGGGAAAGCAGAACCATTCCCTTGCATACAGGATACTTAATACAAAGCTGTGGCTGAAATGAATCCAGGAACTTTGTAGGGATGAACGGAAATAGATAAAAATGTTAGGGCATTAAATGACACTAAATGTTAGGGCATAGGTTTTACTCAACAACTTCTAACTATTTTGAGACTTAAAACTAATGGTGTTGGTGGCATTTACTCTTCTTTGCTATATTTCATCTTAAGGGATTATTTAAAACACACATTACAGAGAATGATTATGACCTCTAAAGAGCCATTCTTAATATTTCAGAAGTTGCTGGGTGTGGTGGCTCATGCCTGTGATCCCAGTACCTTGGGAAGCCAAGGTGCGAGCATCGCTTGAGCCGGAGGTTGAGGCTGCAGTGAGCTGTGCACGCCATCGTGAGACTGTCTCAAAATAAAAAAGTATTTCAGAAACTGCTATCAGTGAAGGATACTGCTGGTCCATCCATGAGTATGTCTCACCTCCCAGGCATCCACAATCAGGAGATATAGGAAAAACACATAAAGCAAATATTTCTTTCTTTTTATTTTATATATTGTATAAAGTTTTATTAAAGTGGCAATGTCACTAAATATCTTTAATAACCCTTCTCAGCCTATTAGCTGGAGTCAAAATATATATACAGAGTAAGATGTAAAGGAAAATACTTGGATCCCAAATAAGCACCTTCCTACACAAACCCAGCTGTTGCCAGTTCAAATTACTGAGCCTCATATGTGCCGGATAAAGCACTAAAGGACAACACAACTAATAAATAATAATTCCTGTTTTTGAGAAGCTCTTTAGGATTGACAGAGATGGCCAAAGCAGACAGATGTTCCAGCAAAGCAGTGGAGAAGACTTCTCACGCCTGGTGGGTGCTGAAATGCTGTGCTCGCAAGTCAATCTCCTGCTGTCAGACTTGTCTCTGAAGAGCTTCTTCCTTCTTCATGTGAAGGCTGAGTCAGCATGGGCTCGGTACTGAGTGATCAGCAGTTCCATTTATGAAAGAGCTGCTTGTGAATCCTGGGGTGAGGGGATCCCCGGACTTCTTTTCGTTATGCCCTCTTATTTCCTGATATTTCCCATCAGGGCAGAAAATGGGGAAGAAATGTTCAAATAAGCTGGACCATATTTCCCTGCTCCGTACAACTTTTGCTTCCAGTTGCAGGAATGATTTCCTTTCAATCAGGAGTAAAGCTTTCTTAGCAACTACTTTCTTTTTTTCGTTCGTTCTTTCTTTCTTTCTTTCTTTCTCTCTCTCTCTTTCTTTCTTTGTTTTCTTTCCTTCCTTCCTTCCTTCCTTCTTTCTTTCTCCCTTCCTTCCTTCCTTCCTTCCTTCCTTCCTTCCTTCCTTCCTTCCTTCCTTCCTTCCTTCCTTCCCTCCTTTCTCTCTCTCTCTCTCTCTTTCTTTCTTTCTCTTCCTGACTGTTGCAAAACACAGTTTGAACCTAAAAAGATTTTACAGGTATTTGCGTGGTGGGCTCTTCCCTCAGGCTTTTCCACTTGTTTCTCTTGGGGTCTGTCTGCCTCGCTCAATGCCTACCCTGCCAGAAGGTGGGGGCATGTGACCTACTGATGTCCTGCCAGCCTCGGTCCTCAGCTGAGTGGCTGTATGAGTGCTGAGGGGTGTTTGGGGCCATTCTCTTTTTTCTTTCCTTAGCTCGATTAGGGAGCCATGAGCCAGGGTTATTGTTGGACCTGATTCTCTTAGTAATTTTCCAAGTAACTTTCAGAGAGCCTTGACCTCTCTTCCCTTGATTGTCAAATGGGACAGGTGTCTCCACAGTGTGAGAAAAAGAAAAAGACCATGAGACAGTGCATTCCAAAGAAGGGAGTGTGGCCACCTGGTTAAGAATCCAGGTCAGGTCAGGCACAGTGGTTCACGCCTGTAATCCCAGCACTTTGGGAAGCAGAGGCGGGCAAATCCCTTGAGGTCAGGAGTTTGAGGCCAGCCTGGCCTACATGGTGAAACCCTGTCTCTACTAAAAATACAAAATTTTTCAGGGCACTGTAGCGCATGCCTGTAATCCCAGCTACTTCTGAGGCTGAGGCAGGGGAATGGCTTGAATCTGGAGGCAGAGGCTGAAGTGAGATGAGATTGCACCACTGCACTCCAGCCTGGCCAACAGAGCAAGATTCCATCTCAAAAAAAAAAAAAAAAAAAAAAAAAAAATCCAGGTCAGAACTCAGAGTTCTGGCTGTGTCCACGCAGCAGTTACAAACCCTTGAATCAGGTAGCTAATCCCATGAAGCCTCAGCTCCCTTAGCTTTAAAATCAGGATAATGTGGAAAACAGTGTGAAGAATTCTCAAGGAACTAAAAAATAGAACTACCATTCGACCCAGCAGCACCATTAGTGGGCATCTGTGCAAAGAAAAAGAAATCATTATTGTGTTAGTCCATTGCCCACTGCTGATAAAGACATACCCGAGACTGGGAGGAAAAAGGTTTAATTGGACTTACAATTTCACAAGGCTGGGGAGGCCTCAGAATCATGGTGGGAGGCTAATGGCACTTCTAACATGGTGGTGGCAAGAGAGAATGAGAAGGATGCAAAAGTGGAAACCCATGATAAAACCATCAGATCTCGTGAGACTTATTCCCTACCATGAGAATAGTATGGGGGAACCACCCCTGTGATTCAAATTATCTCCCACCAGGTCCCTCCCACAACACATGAGAATTATGGGAGTACAATCCAAGGTGAGATTTGGGTGAGGACACAGAGCCAAACCATATCATTCCACCCCTCTAAATCTCATGCCCTCCCATTTCAAAGCCAATCATGCCTTCACAACAGGCCCCCAAAGTCTTAACTCATCTCAGCACTAACCCAGAAGTCCACAGTCCAAAGTCTTCTCTGAGACAAGGCAAAAAGTCAAAAGCACGCTAGTGACTTCCTATATAAACGGGGCACAGGTGTTAGATAAATACAGCACTTCCAAATAGGAAAAATTAGCCAAAACAAGAGTTACAGGGGCTATGTAAGTCTGAAGTCCAGTGGAGCAGTCAAAGTTTAAAGCTCCGAAATGATCTCCTTTGACTCCAGGTCTTACATCCAGGTCACACTGCTGTAAGAAGTAGGTTTCCATGGCCTTGGGCAGCTCCAACCCTGTGGCTTTGCGAGTGTAGTCCCACTCCTGGCTGCTTTCATGGGCTGGCTTTGCGTGTCTGCAGCTTTTCCAGGTACACAGTGAAAGCTGTCAGTAGATCTCCCATTCTGGGGCCTGGAGGATCATGGCCCTTGTCTTACAGTTTCACCAGACAGTGCCCCAGTAAGGACTCTCTGTGGGAGCTCTGATCCCACATTTCCCTTTTCCACTGCCTTCGCAGAGGTTCTCTATGCAGGCCCTGCCCCTGCAGCAAACTTTTGCCTGAGCATCCACGCATTTCCATACATCTTCTGAAATCTAGGCAGAGGTTCCCAAACCTCAATTCTTGACTTCTGTGCACCTGCAAGCTCAATGTCACGTGAAAGCTGCGCAGGCACTCTCTCAAGCAACAGCCCAAGCTTACCTTGGCTCCTTTTAGCCATGGCTGGAGTGGCGGGGATGCAGGACACCAAGTCCCTAGGCTGCACACAGCAGGGGGACCCTGGGCCCAGCCAACAAAACAGCTTTTTCCTCCTAAGCCTTAGGGCCTGTGATGGGAGGGGCTGCTGTGAAGACCTCTGACATGCCCTGCAGACATTGTCCCCACTGTCTTGGAGATTAATATCCGGCTCCTTATGCAAATTTCTGCAGCGGGCTTGAATTTCTCTTCAGAAAATGGATTTTTCTTTCCTATCACATTGTCAGGCTGTAACTTTTCTGATCTTTTATGCTCTGCTTCCCTTTTAAAACTGAATGCCTTTGCCGGGCACTGTGGCTAACGCCTGTAATCCCAGGTCTTAGGGAGGCAGAGGCGGGAGGATAGCTTGAGCCCAGGAGTTTGAGACTTGCCTGGGCAATATAGCAAGACCCCATTTTCCACAAAAAGGAAAAAACCGAAAAGACCAAAAAAGAAGGCATAAAAAACTGAATGCCTTTAACAGCACCAAAGTCACCTCTTGAATGCTTTGCTACTTACAAATTTCTTGTATCAAATACCCTAAATCATCTCTCTTAGTTCCAAGTTCCACAGATCTCTAGGGCAGGGGCAGAATGCCACCAGTCTCTTTGCTAAAACATAACAAGAGTCACGTTTGCTCCAGTTCCCAATAAGTTTCTCATCTCTGTCTGAGACCATGTCAGCCTGGATTTCATTGTCCATATCTTATCAGTATTTTTGTCAAAGCCATTCGACAAGTCCCAGGAAGTTTCAAACTTTCCCACATTTTCCTTTTCCGAGCCCTCCAAACTGTTCCAATGTCTGCCTGTTACCAGTTCCAAAGTCACTTCCACATTTTCGGGTGTCTTTTCAGCAGCACCCCACTCTACTGGTACCAATTAACTATATTAGCCCAATTTTTACAATGCTAATAAAGACATACCTGAGACTGGGCAGAAAAAGAGGTTTAATTGGACTTATGGTTCCACATGGCTGGGGAAGCCTCAGAATCATGGTGGGAGGTGAAAGGCACGTCTTACATGGCAGCAGCAAGAGGAAATGAAAAAGATGCAAAAGTGGAACCCCTGATAAACCATCAGATCTCGTGAGACTTATTCACTACCATAAGAATAGTTTGGGGGAAACCAACCCCATGATTCAAACAATCTCCCACCAGGTCCCTCCCACAACATGTGGGATTTATGGGAGTACAATTCATGGTGAGATTTGGGTGGGGACACAGAACCAAACCATATCAATTATACAAACAAAACACCTGCACCCCCCTGTTCATTGTAGAACTATTCACAATAGCAGTCATGGAATCAATCTAAGTATCCATCACTGGTGGATTACATAAAGAAAATATGGTACATATACACCATGGAATACTATGCAGCCATAAAAGGAATGAAATCACATCCTTTGCTGCAACATGGATGGAGCTGGAGGCCATTATCCTAAGTGAAATAACTCAGAAAAGAAACTGAAATACTATATGTTCTTACTTATGAGTGAGAATTAAACAATTTACATGGCATAAGGATGAAAATAATAGACACTGGGGACCCCAATAAGTGGGGAGAGGGGCAAGGGTCAAAAAATTACCCGTTTGGTACAGTGTTTACTATTTGGGTGATGGGCATACTTGAAGCCCAGACCTCATCATTATGCAATATATCCAGGTTACAAACCTGTGCAGCATGTGCCCCCTGAATCTAAAATTTCAAAAATAAAGTTGATAATGTTTGATTCTTTATAGGGTCATTGTGAAGCGCAAATAAAAGCTTTTAGTACCAAACCTATCACATTTGTTTTCAGCAAATATTGGCAAATATTAGGGGTGTGTGTGTGTGTGTGAAATAGGAAGCTTGACTAGGATCAGGTGATTTCTGTATTCAATGCTATGTATAAAATATTGAGCACTGATGGGTAATATAACCTTTTACAAACACAACCATTGGGCTCAAGTGCCCAAATTCAGAGCTTCTTCCCCTCAACAGATTTTTTTCTTTTATTGATCAACATACTGTTATTTTAAAAGCCCATTTTGACTTTTCCTTACCAGTTGTTCCAGTAAGGGTCTCTTTGTGTTTTGAATAAGGCCTCACATCTCTAGGGCTCCTGATCTCAGAGACCGTCAGACAGGGATTTACTCTGATCACAGGTGGCTTCATAAGCAAGTGACCCATGTCACTACACAAAGTCCTGCTCTCAAAAAGGCCTTGCATTTGGCTTAATGCCATGTTGTTGACACCACACCTTGAAATTCTTTTTGTATGTTGGGGGTTGTGGGGGACACGCCCATCAGAAATAGTTTGGAGGGTTCAGACCTCCATCTGTCACTCAGGCTAGTGGGCAGTGGTATAATCATAGCCCATTATGTACAGCCTTAATCTCCAAGGCCCAAGTGATCCTCCCATTTCAGCCTCCTAAGTAGCTGGGACTATAGGTGCATACACCATGCCAAGGTAATTTTTAAAAGTTTTTTTTTTTTTCTTGAGCGATGGAGTCTCACTATGTTACCCAAGTTGGTCTTGAACTCTTGAGCTCAAGCAATCCTCCTGCCTCTGGCTCCCAAAGTGTTATGATTACAGGTGAAAGCCACTGCACCTGGCCCTTGAAATGTTTAATAAGTTTTGAGCAAGGGGCTCTGTGTTTTCATCTTGCTCTGGGACCTGCAAATGATGTTGCTGCTTCTATATCAGACTTTGGTTTCTAATAGAGGAGAGACTGAGGGAAACCACGTGGGACACTCTTGCTCTCCAAGCCTCCTTAAATCCCACTCTAGGAGTAGGGGTTTGCTTTCTAATCAAGTTAGAAAACTGATGATGTGTGATCACTTTTCTGAATCCTGTGGGGGTAGTGCTTTACTATTTTATTCCTTTGAGAAAGGTCTAGAGTCTGTTTCATTAACGCAAGTCCACACACATTCTTCACCCCAATCAACTTTGCTGTCTGATATCAAAACCCACTGATGAGAGAGATGATGCAACCTAATTGTGGGTGATTTGATTAATGTTGTTGTTCATGGTCACGGGGGCTGCAGGCACTTAGTGTGCTATCGGACACTTGGGATCAATTGCCCTGTAGTTAAAACATCAGCCCTTGAGACACTTCTCCCGGAGTCCCAGAAATCATAGCCCTCTCACCTTTGTTGACCTGTCCATGGTAATACGGTTGCCAAACCCTCTCAGGAACTCACACAGCGCTTCGACCAGCTCCTCCGCACTAGCAGAATGCGCTTTGTCATTTTATATGTGCCCTGCATCATTTTGGTTTCTTTCCTATTTCTTCTTATAATGTCAGACTATGCCCAGTGATTGACAATTTTAATTATTCCTCAGAGAACCTCATATTAATAACAGCCACCGATCTAACTCAGATCATTCCAAACATCTTTATTTCCTATCCTCAAGTAGGAGACGTTAGCTCCTCCAAGCTTGAATTCTATACCTGCAAAGGAGAACTAAGACAAGGTTTCAAAATAACAGGTAACCTTCCTCTCCAGATCAGCCCCAAAGCAGAGCCCCCTCTCCTCAATAGATTATTTTTCCTCTTCTTGATCAACATATTATTATTTTAAAAAATCCATTTTGACTTTCTCTTGCCAGAAAAGGCTCTCCATCCTCCCTGCTGCACAGCAGGAAGCTCTTTCAGACTTGCTCAGATTGGTGGGTGGAGGAGACCACAATTATACCCCCTTTCAATGACATGTCTGGGGTTTCAGTGACTCAAGACAAAGAAGCTGAAATGTATGAAAGTTTCTGTGTCTTCAAGACAGAACCTAAAAATACCTCCCTGAGATGCAGGTTGGGA